CTGAGTCTCTGGCTACTTCCTCCACTGGATTGATAATAGTCTCTACACCCAACAGGTGCTCAACACAGCTGCTCTCCAAGAACAGCAGAGAACAGACAGGGCCATAGGGGTTTGGGAGTCAGACTTAGACTTGAATCCTGATTCCACCATGTAAACCCTCCTGAACTTCAGTTTCCTCCTCTGTAATATGAGTTCAAAACCTCTGCCTTCATTGTTGGGTTGACTGTAAAGCTCTGGCTTCCAGATCCATGTTTTTTGTGGGCTCCTTCCAGGACCCTGGGAGGGGCTCTCACAGTTTCATAGTCACATTTTTTATTCTTCTTCATATAGAGAGCCCCCTCCAAATGCTATCAGCCCAAGACCTCACCAAACTTGGACCTACTCCTCCCCACCCCACAGAGCTGCTCTGGAAGTTAAATAAGATTGTGTTCCTAAAGTGTGGGAAATGCAGTAGACGCTCCACAAATGTTACTTCTCTCCAGAACAGCCCAGAAAAAGGATGCAAAGACAGAACTGTAGCTGATGTGCATGTCACATGTCCCTTTTAATGTCTCAAATATTCCCATTCAGCAATCCAGCCCCCATTCCACAAGTGGCCTCTGGGGTTCAGACACAAGTCTGAGGGATGCTGAGTCTCTGGCTACTTCCTCCACTGGATTGATAATAGTCTCTACACCCAACAGGTGCTCAACACAGCTGCTCTCCAAGAACAGCAGAGAACAGACAGGGCCATAGGGGTTTGGGAGTCAGACTTAGACTTGAATCCTGATTCCACCATGTAAACCCTCCTGAACTTCAGTTTCCTCCTCTGTAATATGAGTTCAAAACCTCTGCCTTCATTGTTGGGTTGACTGTAAAGCTCTGGCTTCCAGATCCATGTTTTTTGTGGGCTCCTTCCAGGACCCTGGGAGGGGCTCTCACAGTTTCATAGTCACATTTTTTATTCTTCTTCATATAGAGAGCCCCCTCCAAATGCTATCAGCCCAAGACCTCACCAAACTTGGACCTACTCCTCCCCACCCCACAGAGCTGCTCTGGAAGTTAAATAAGATTGTGTTCCTAAAGTGTGGGAAATGCAGTAGACGCTCCACAAATGTTACTTCTCTCCAGAACAGCCCAGAAAAAGGATGCAAAGACAGAACTGTAGCTGATGTGCATGTCACATGTCCCTTTTAATGTCTCAAATATTCCCATTCAGCAATCCAGCCCCCATTCCACAAGTGGCCTCTGGGGTTCAGACACAAGTCTGAGGGATGCTAAGGTACCTGGTTCTCAGGGAAGGCCTCCTCAGCTCTAATGTGGCCATGGATCCAGTCAAGGTAGCGGCTAACTTTTGTGTAAATGCCGTAATTGTGGAGGCGCCCGCAGCCTTCGCCCCAGCTCACCAGGCCCACCAGGAACCAGGTGCCACGGAAAGATGCAACCATAGGCCCCCCACTGTCACCCTCACAGGCATCCCGTGAGTCCCCAAGAATGCCTGCGCACAGCATGTTCTCAGAGATCATGTTGTGCATGGCCTGGATGCACTCATTGTGCGGGGCCACGGGGATATTGATGAAATTGAGGACGAAGGTGCGGTTCCTTTTGGTCTCACTGCGATAGCCCCAGCCGGTCACCACGGTCTCCTGCCCAACCTGAGTGAGTTCACGCTCTGCAAGGCCACTGTCTGGGAGGCAGATGGGCACGATGGTCTGCGAGAGGACAGCGGGCTGGGCCAGGCGGAGCAGTGCGATGTCATTGTCCGTGGTGCTCTTGCTGTAGTTGGGGTGGATAAGGATCTCCTTGATGTCCACATCCATCTCCCACTTCTCCCAGCGCCGCAGGTCATACTCCCCTGTGGGGCAGAGGAGCAGTTAAGAGCGGTTTGGGGCAGCCAGTGGGCCCACACCTGGAGTGGTCGCTGTTTCTCCCAGGCAGTTACTAGTGCCGTAAGACTGTGCTTCATATCCCTGCCAGTGGTAACAGCTGGGATGTCAGTCCTAAAGGGGCAGAATTCTGGCTGGAATTTAATACTCAGTCCCAGATGGAGCAGTGAGGCCTGGCAAGTAAGCAGCCGTGGGTAGTCAGTATGGCAGCCTAGAACACAGATCAGATCCACACAGGGAAGTGGAGGGACACAACTCTTCTAGCAGTGCTGGCCCGAGAACAAGGTAGTGACAAGCCACGATGGGGACAGGGCCAGAACAGCAAGACCCAGAGAGGACCCACGGGACAGAGGCTCTGCCAGGGAAGATCTGGATCACATGCAAGGGACAAGATCCTCTCCAGCAAGGCTGATGGCTCCTGGAGTGGCAGGGGCAGTGCAGGGAGCTAGGAATTCTAAACTGAGTGCCACTGGAGGCCACAGGCCGTTGGTCATGCTGGAGGCAATTGTAGAGAATATGAATTTGGTCATTCTCAATATATCTTTTCCTTCTTTTCTGCATGAACAGTGGAGAGTCCCCTCCAGAAATTGGTAGAGCGGGGCCCAGGCTTGTGGCCCTGGATTACTGCAGGGAAGCAGCCGGGAAGATGCTGGGGCCTCTGCTGCTCAGCTCTGTTCTTGTCAGTCATGTGAAGCACGGCCCTGAGCCCAAGCGATGTGGATGTCTTGTGGATCTCCGCACCTAAGGTGCCAGAGGCCCACACACACAGCCTGTTCATGTGAGTGTGAATAAAGAGGCGAGGGTATGTGTGTGTGTGTGTGTGTGTGTGTGTGTGTGTGTGTGTGTGAGACCTCCCCTCACTCTGCAAATATGTGTATGGAAGCACTTGGGCACCAAATTGGAAGAGAATCCCCTACCTGCAGAACAACAGGTGCCACTGTATCTAAAATTCCACAAGAGTAGCTGGGGGGAGCACACAGGCCTCTTCTCCCCAGACACCTTCCAGGGGACTCAAGCAGCCTCTTGCTCAAGCACTCCAAAGACGAGGGTCCCCAAAGCTCACTAAGGCCTCTGGTGGCCCCCTCCTGCCTAGCCCCAGCCCGCACCGAGCCTGACGATGAGCTTCTTAGAGTCCTCCATGCAGTGGGCGGCTGTCAGCACCCAGGAGGTATGGATGAGCACTGCCCCACAGGCCAGCTTCTTCTTTGAGTCCAGCAGGATCACCTGGAATGGGAGTAGGCAGTGACATCACAACACTACCTCTGACAGCTCCAAGTCCGGGCCTACAGTTCTTGGCACAGCCACAGCATGGTTCTCAAGCCTGAGGCACTGGCTGCATTGGTCAGTTTTTCATGGACACAGCATAGACTTATGGTCCCTTGCTGGCATTTTCTGTCTTACAGAGTTGGACTGTTGTAGGGCATCTCCTTGCCTCTGCCCATGCTATTGCTACAGTCATCCTTAGCAGCACCCAGAAAGTTCTGCTCACCCTTGAGACTTAGGCTGGGACTCAAGTCCTCTAAGAAGCCTTTGAAGCCTCAAGGTTGTATTGAGTATCCCCCTCAGGATTCCATAAGCCCCTATCCCCCTGGCCATCCTGGCCTTGGTCCCACTGAGTGGCTGTTTTTATGGGCCTGACCCTCACAGGATCTATGAGCTTCCCAAGGCCTGCCAATCTTCTGCTTATTGATTTTCTGTACCCCTCCCTCCCATCCAGTGCCTGGGACCATTTAAAGTATTAGTTCCCATGGTAAGGCTGGAGAGGTATTTCAGGGTCAACCCAAGCAAGACCTCTGTCATAAGCCAGGCCTTGGCCTAATGTACCACCAGCAGCACATGATCTTTCCAGCTCTTTGTTAAAACTATAACTCACCTCCCTGCACATCTGCCCCCTGCCCCTGTGCCCAGTTCACCCTGCCCCGACCACTACTCTCCCATCAGGTACCCCTGGATTTCCCTTAAACTGCTTCGCCATTAGCACTGCCCCCACCCCAAGTGAAGGCAGCATTTCCTCTCTCCATCTGTGCATTCTGATCAGGAACTCCCAGTAGGGGCTCAGAGATTCCTGCCCCAACTGCAGAACAGCTGCTTCTCATCTCACCTGCCAGGGGCTCTCTCCCCATTTGGTCTCTTTCCCATTGACGAGCCTTGGATCGACTTGGTCAGTTTGGTTTGTGTCCCGTTTCAAGTGCTTGCGCTTCTTCTCCAGTCGCTTCCCTGGCTTCCCACAAGGGAACTTCACTGAAGATAGGGGAAGCAAGTGAGTTCCTGCCAGGCACTACTCCCCAAGACTGCCCTCCCATCTTTGTCTACTTCCTGCCTGCAGGCTAGTTTGCTCCATTGTAGGGTTAAAAGGCTAGGTGACGCCAAGGCACCCAGTTCTAGTAACCTGCAAATCCCCTTGCGTTAGTCAGTCAGTCAACAAACAGTGCCACCTAATGGTAAGAGCCAGACCAAGCAGCATCACTACCTATCTGTGTGTCCTTGAACAGGTTAAACTTCTCAGAGTTCAGTATCTGCTCCTCCAGAAGTTGCTGGGAGCAGTCCCTGAGGTACATAAAATAAAGTCTCATGCTGGGATACCACCAAGCTCTTAACACAGGTAAGAAATTATGGGGAGGAAGTGGTGGGCATTCCTGGGGAGCCCCCAAAGTAGCTCTGAGCAACGTTGTGAGGTCCCCTGCCAAGAGGAGAGAGAATAGGACAGAGAACCAAGGGCTGGGAGGGCTTTCAACATCTGCTCATGATGGACCATGCATGCTAGGTTGAAAGATTTAGACTTGTAGGATAGTTGATGGGCAACCATCAGCAGGAGAATTGCATAGTGGCAGAGAATAGAGACAGACAACAGCAACAAAATTCCAGAAGCTAGACATGGTAACTAACTTGGCTGACTGAGAAAGCAAAAACCTTAGCCAGTAATAACAATTCCAGCAGCAGACTGCTTTTTATTACAGAACCATCCCGAATCCTCAGTGTTTCTGAAGGACACAGTGTAGGCTGGGACTACAGACAGGAACGCTGAGTTTAGAAATGAAACTGCCAAAGCCCTAGTCCTCTGTCTCAGGTCCCCAGTGGCTTGGCTCCTCTCTCAGCCCTGAAAAAGATCACAGGTGCCTTCTCTGCACAGGGTGAACCAGAGACTGTGATCTGGGCCTCCAGCCACAGGGAAGAGTGACATGCAAGGCTGGCCAGACGGAGTCACGCAGATATCTGCAGACTGGGCAGATGCCAGCTCCTCTTCTCTACTCTGCTCCAGGGGGGCTGGAAGGCAGGCTATGCCCAGTCAAACGTGAACCTGGAGAATTCCTCTCAGGAAGCGGCCTGAGGAGCTGGGCAGTAGGGATTCTACCAGTGACCTGGGCCTTCTGATGGCCTCTTAGAAAGCCTTTAGGCCAACTGGTCCACAGGCATTTCCTTGTAAGTTCCCGTGAATCATTATTTCAAAATAAAAAGTTAGACATTTCTTCCCAGTGAAAGGGTTGGAATATAACATTGTGGAAAGTTCCCTGAAAGAACACGAAGTCAAGTCAAAGAGATGGAAAACAGAAGTGATAATAAACTTAGAGAAGCGATCCCAAGGAGCGGAGATCTGAGTAATGGGAGGTCCCAGAGGTGAGAATAGAGACTGCAGTGGGAGGATATCAAAGAAATAACTAAGGAAATGTGCCTGAGGCAGTAGACAGGAATTTCCACATGAAAAGTTTCCATCAAGGGCATTGTACAACGAATGACAAAAGACCCATACTGGGAAACAATCTGCTGAAATTCATGATAATAGTTGTAAAATTTTCACTTCTAGGACATATACAAAGTTGATAAAAATTAAAATGTTATAAGAAGGAAAACAGAAGGGCGCCTGGGTGGCTCAGTGGTTAAAGCCTCTGCCTTTGGCTCAGGTCATGATCCCAGGGTCCTGGGATCGAGTCCCACATGGTGCTCTCTGCTCAGCAGGGAGCCTGCCTCCTCCTCCCCTCTCTCTGCCTGCCTCTCTGCCTACTTGCGATCTGTCAAATAAATTTAAAAAAATCTTAAAAAAAAAAAAAAAGAAGAAGGAAAACAGAAAAGAAGACAGACTCAGGGTTCCTGTCTCTCCTCAGAGAAGCCAGAGGTAAAAGGGGAGCTGGGATGCCAGGCTGGACGAGGTGTCTTCAGAAAATAAAGTCATCCAAGGTGGATGGAGGAAGATGCTGGAGGCCTGGCCCCCAACACCCACTCAGAGTTTGGGAGATGAGCTACATATGGGCTCATGCTCCTCCGGAAGTTGTCCCCAAGGTGAGCTGGGGAACCTTGGAGGAAGGCAGGCAGGAGAGGGAAAGCGACCCAAGGGCACCCACACAACTCCCAGGCTGACTGCACTACCAAGCACCCTGTCGGTGCAGGGGCGGCCCGTCTCCTCACCCACTCTCTGGAAGCCTCTCGTGCCGCCCCCACCGCCGGTTTTGGGGGCGCTCACCTGTGGGCTCGCACTGCAGGTGGTCGTCCCCAAGCTTGTAGCCCGGCGCGCAGCGGCAGCGGCGCCCGCCCTCCTCCTCCAGGCAGTGGTGAGCGCAGCCGCCGTTGTCCACCGAGCAGTTGAAGTAGATCACCTCTGGGCGGACAGGGGAGGAGGCGCCAGGAGGGGGTGGCGCGGCGCGTTCCGGCTCCCGCCCCGCCCCCCGGGCCCCCAGGAACCCGGTCTCCCGACCCCCACCCCCCCTCCGCGGCCGGCTCTCTCACCGTGCCTACAGAAGCGACCCTCCCAGCCCCCGTCGCAGTTGCAGCCGAAGACGCTAATGCCGTCGATGCACTTGCCGTGCCCGCAACACGGGCTGTCGCACGGGTGCTCGGAAGGTAGGGACGCGCACTGGTCCCCGTCTGCGACATGGGAGGAGGGGCGTCACTGGTGTCGCCAGCGGGGGGGCCCCCCAAGCCCCGCCCCGTCCCTACAACGGCTCAAAAAACCCGGGGGGGGGGGGGGGGGCAGGGGCACCGCAGCCTGGGGTCTAGAGCGCACTCACCGACGTACTTGGACCAGTAGGCCAGCTGTGGAGAAAAGGGACAAGGTCAAAGGCCTCAGCCCATGTATAAGTATATAGGGAGCCCAGGGGGTGCCCCCTGAGTCTGGCCCAGGTAGAGCAGGGGAGGGAAGGGCTTCTGGACAAAGAGGGGTCTACCCCTGCTTGTTGCCAGCCACTGGTGCAACTGCCCCCTGAGGAGGACCACACTCCTTCTTGCCCCCTGCAGCCCATCTCCAAGCCACATCCCAGGCACCACCACCCCGCAGTGCAGCTGGAACCCTGCTCTCTGTACTGCCTGCTACAGCAACAACCTTTACACTGGAAGCGACCCAAATCTCCCACCCAGCTGCTCTGCCTCCTTCCAGCCTCTGTCATTCTCTTAGGCTTTTCTGGACCTCTCATGCATGTGGTCTTTCCCTAAGCCAGTGTTCTCAAAGTGGAGACCTTGTTGGTTAGACTTGGATTGCTGAGAAGATCTGCTTGTCTGACCAAGTCCCTGCTGCTGCTGCTGCTGCTGCTGCTGGTCTGGGACCACCACACCAGAGATCCACGGCTGGATGCCTACAACATCAAACCCCTCCCTGTAGCAGTGGCTCTGCCCTGCTGGGCCTGGGAGACCTTAGGGTAAGGTGCTCAGATTGTGGCTGCACAAAGTCCTTTGGGCGTCTGTCGAGGAGGTTATTTGGGAAAAGAGACAGTGGGGATCTAGGCAAGGAGGTAGCAGATGAAAGGGCAGACCAGAGTTTCCCACCCTAGTCTTGGAAGCTCTGAATAATAAGGAAGGGCATCCTTATAGACCTTATAGACCTGGACCCCAGGTAGCAGCACAATTTCTTGTCCTAGTAGCTCAAGTAAGCCCTTGAGATGGACTGGGTCTGAGCCTTTTATCAAAGAGCTACCTCCCTTACCAATCCATCCTTCTGCCTCAGGGCTGCCACCATGGGGCCCCGGCAGCCAGAGAGGATGTGGACTTCCCCTCTGATCCCCTGAGCAATCAGATTTTGCCTCTTGAGAATTTGAACTGAGGCACAGAGGGAGTGTATGTAGACAGACATCAGGGAATCTTGGGTCACACACCCCCTGATAGGCAGATGTGTGGCTGGAAACAGAGAAGGCGGGATTTGGGTCACAGAGAACAGGGGAGGCAGGGGCCAGCTATGGGCAGAGGGCGGGCTGAACTTCCACCAGTGGGGTTGTTGGGAATCCAAGCCTAAGGTTTCCCCAAATTCCCTATTCCTGGAGCTAATTGCAGAGTTCTGTTCCTTGCAGTCATGTGTGACCTGACCAAGACTGTAGGGCCAGCATCCTCTTCATTCCACTCACCCTCCCCACTCCCGAGCAAGCTGAATGGAGAAGGGGCTGTTGCCCTTGCCTCCCCAGACTCCCAGGAGGGCCTCAGCAGTGGGGCCCTAGCTTGTTCCTCCAGACCCCCGCTGGCCACCAGCCTGCCCCTGAGGCTCGTCCTCTGCACCCAGCCAGATGGCCTTACTGTGTAATCCACATTTTGGAAAATCTCCTGGGCCTCCTCGAAGTCACAGATCTCCTCTATGCACTCCCGCTCCAGGCTGCCTGGCCGGATCTCCTCTAGGAAGGAATTGGCTCGCTTGCGGATCCGCAGAACCTGGTGGGCGCTCTCGCTGCTGGAGAACACTGAGTCTGGTTGGGGTTGGGGGGAAGCTCATTAGGGAGAGGGGTCTAGGGTGGGGGCTACTCTGCAGTGAGCCCCAGGAGATATTTTTGTCTTGAGCCCTCAGGACTTAAAACTGCCCTACTCCTCTGCTCTCTTCCTCCACACACAGCAGATGGCCAGCCTGGGAAGACAGGAGACTTGGCCATTCAGAGGACATGTGCTGGACAGACAGTCCTCCCTTTGGACCCAACCTGACCTCTGTGTGACCTTGAGCCAGTGCCTTTGCCTCTCTAAACTTCAGTTTATTCGTACAAACATGAGGATGAGGTAATGGTGTCAAACAGCGCAGTGCCTGACCTAGAAATGAGCACTCAGTGACACATGTTGGCGGGATGTTGTTGTTATTACCAGGACTGCAAACGTCACTCTGTCTTGCTATTCTCCCAGTACCCCTGTGCAACCCTATCTTGCACTGTCCCACGTATCTTCCCCCCTCCCCACTCCCACCCCCATTGACCTCTCCTTAGTGGAGCATTTCCCCTGCCTTCCCCTCAGGGGCAGGGCAGACCTGGAAGACAGCAGACCTGTGCCTTAGGCTCTGAGAGATGTCTGTTGGGTATAGCTGGGATGGAGGGACCAAGTAAGGGGAGTGAGCAAGACAGGCAGGAGGAGGCAGTGCAAAGTCCAGGAAAGGAAGGCATCTGACCTGAGTCTGGATACAGGAGCCAAGTGAACCACAGGTAGGAGTGGGGACACCCCAGGCAGACAAGCAGCTCAAGACGGGGCTCAAATGCCAACAACAGCTGGTGTGCCTCAAGGAGACTGGGGCGGGGGGGCTGCTGCAAGGCACGGGCAGCTCTTTACCCCTCAGACCTCCCCATGCACTCTGGCTTCCTCCTGTTGGCTGGGGGTCAAGGGGGGGAAGGGGTGAAGCTGGGCAGTCACCATACACGTGCCTAGGAGGAGAGGCTGCCCTGTGGCAGTGTGGTTGCTGGCCAGTCCTGGCTTTCAGCTTTCGGGCTTTCACAGTTAAGGAAGTGAGTGGGTGGAGGGGAAAGGCCCAGGGGACTCTGGCCCACTCCCAGACTGGAGGTAGGAACTTCATGACATGCCCCCTGGGGCTCCTTGCTGTCACCACAGTACTCTGCCATCACAGTCCCCCCACCCCTGCCCAGGGTGGAGGGGCGGGGGTGGGGGCTACTGGATTCAAGCAGCTGGCCTGTAGGGACTGTCAGGTTGCTCCTCCCCATGGTGCCTCTCCTGTCCCTCTGAGGCTCAGAGGATATGCTGCAAAGTATGAGGGCCTTGTGTGGGGCCTTGTGAAGACCCTGATGATCCCAGGGAAGGACAGTGGCCTTACCGGGAGGAACTGGTGTGCCGGAAATTCCCCAGATGGTCACCAACAGTAAGAGGCTTGCGAGCTGCCACATTCTGGAGTTGCTGCCACCTGTCTGAGGAGGACTTTTGAGCTTCCAGCAGCCCCACCAGCCCCTGCTCTGCCTGCCACCCTTGCCCCAGATGGGAGCTGACTCCCAGGGCCGGGGCTTGGGGGGTCCTTGTTCACTACCCAGACAGCTACTAGCCCCTCAGTATCCTGGCCTGTGTGGGGCTAGGATCACAGCAGCTGCCCAGCATCTGAGGGATGAAGAGAAAAGGTAGAAAGGACACAGATTCCTGGGGAAGATCAAAGGGACTCAGCACAAAAGGGCCATGGCAGGTACCCTCTCTTGCCCTGTTATTTGAGGATCAGGGGATGGTGACTTTGCTGATCTAAGGGCCAGGCTAAGAGTCGTAACTAATATTTATCAGACATTTATGGTATTTTTCAAACAACTTATACGTAGTTCAGAAAGCAGGCCACCAAGTCAACCACTTGGTGCAAATCCCAGCTCCGGGACACCAACACTGGGCAAGACACCTAACGGTTCCATGCCTCAGTTTCCTGGTTAGAAAAACTGTATTTCTGCCTTATAGTAACCCCATGAGAATTAAATTAATTAATCCACATAATACTCTTAAAACAGGGTTTGTATACAGCAAATGCTTGGGAATATTGGCTTTTATTCTCTCAGTTAAAGCTCACAATGCCTGCGAGTGAGGTGTTAATGTCTTCACCCCATTTCATAGAAGGTGGTCACATCAAAGCTTAGAGGAGAGAAGGAGCTTACTGAAAACCCACAACTGGGACCTGACAGAGCTGGGACCCGAGCCCAGTGTCCAGGCCTGTAATCTTAACCCCTGCCCCAAACTACCGGGTGCCCCACGAAGCCCCAGAAGTACTCCTGTGGGCTGGAAACTGAGGAGCAATCCCTCCACCGCCTCCAAACCCAAGCAGCAGGCCTGCCGGCCCCATCCGCAACCTCCCTCACTCCATCTGACCTCACTTTCTGCCTTCACTGACCCCCCACCCCTGCCGGAGGCTGTTTGTGATGTTTGTTTGAATCCGACACCCTAGGTTTAGAGGAGGGGGTGAGGTGGGGAGTAGGGGGAGTCCTGGGCTCCAAGCTGCCCTTACGATGTCCCAGGTCCCTGGCGGCCCTCAGACCATTTCCACTCGCCTCCAAGTCTGGGAAGAAGGCCCGTGGGAACTGTGGCACCCAGGCCTGAGGAATGCCAGCCAGCGCCCTGGCCTGGCCTGTGGCAGAGCCCTGACGTCCCATTAGCCCAAGCTCCAGCCAGCTTCTGGAACCCTGGCTGGAGCATTCAACCTTCACATCTGCTGTTCCCACCCCCGTCCCCCCTCACAGACCTGCCATGAAGGGGCCTTACTGGGGTGGGCCAGGGAGAGACTGCAAGGTCGCCGTCCCGCCGCCATGACAGCCTGAACCGCGTGTGAGTTAATCCATAACCTCAAATATTTGCTTGGCCCTCAGTGCTGAGACCTCCCCCTCCACAGATAAACAAACAGGCTCCCAGCTCCTGATGGCCCTGTTTGCCCAAAGCCCACTTTTGTCCACCAATTGGTGCCATCCAGGAGGGAGGGCGGGAAGGGATGGGCAGTGTCAAACTGTCTACCGATGTGGTCTCATTTTGGCCTCAAAGGTGGCTGGCTGTAGGAGGGACATCATGGCTGTGTTGCAGATGGGGACATTTTTACCCAGAGATACTAGTTTTCCCCAGATTAGCACTACTGGCGATGATTCTGTATTTCACCAAATCTAGGACGCCATTAATTATAAGATGCACCTATTTTATGTGGCAGAAACACTGTCAGTTACACAGGGACACAGTATCCTGATTTCCAATTTTCACTATGAAAAGACACCCCGCTCTGGGTCCCTCCCATGTGAGCGCTGGCCACTGAGCTCCACCCTGGGCTCCAGTAGCTCCTGTAGCTGCCCCGCACAGCGGCGTGTGGCTGCTCCTGGAATCTCTACTTTGTAGATAAGAACACTCAGAAATCTCTTGTTAGTTGCTCAGATTCACCAAGCTGCTGAGTGGCAGGCCTGGCATAGACTCAGGTCTTCCTGGCACCTCTTGGCCACCTTTGTAAACAAGTGAGGAAAAACAAACCGGGTTCTGGAAACGCTGCTGTCAGTCCGTGGCTGGGATGCTGGGAATGAAAAGGGCAGAAGTACAAGGTCCAGCCTGAAGCCTTGGCACCAGTTCTTGAGTCTGTTGACATTTATGAGGCATCTTGCTTCCCTGGACCCACTGTGTAGGATCCACACCTATTTCCTCCCTACCGCACTTGCTCTTCCGCCCACCCTCACCCCCCCCCACCCAGGGCTTGACCACACCCCTCAAAGCTGGACCTCCTGCAGGGGTCATGTGACCCTGTCCCGCTGGCCTCCAGGACTGTCCAGGAAAGTCACCTGACCCAGGGGTCAACCCAGTTCTCTACCCCAGCCCCTAGTAGTAGGGTCTGGGTGCCCTCATTCCACAGTTAGCACTGGACTGGGAAGATTTTGAAGCCAGGGCCTGGGCATCCATGTTTGGGCCTAAAGCAGAGGAAGCTGATGAAGAGGAAGATACAAACTCAGGAGAGACGCTGAGAGAGGAGACCTTGGACACTCAGGAGGGGGAGGGAGCGGCAGGGGCAGGCCCCTACCGTCCAGAGTGAGCACATCCTGGCTTTAGGCTCATGAGGGTCCCCTGCCCTCCTAGAAACCCCCTCTTTCCTTAAGTTCCCTTAAACTGACTGGGGCAGCTTGCATTTCTTAGGACAGTATATCTCCTCCAGAGGCACAGCACCTTCCCTGGGCTGTGGGGCTACAGGCCCACAGCCGCCTGAGAAGGCAAGAGGATTGGGGAGACATCAGCACGAGCTGGGGTGGCCCAGGAAGGCTGCCTGGAGGAGGTAGAGCTACACCTAGAGGTTAGAGAGCAGGAAGGACCCTGGGAACAGAGGAAGGCCCCTCAGCAGGGGAGGGAGTGGAGGCACAGGAGACAAACAGCGGAGGAAGCATTGCAGCAGGGAGGGGTAGAAGAGAGGGAGAAGGAAATAATGGAGTATGGCCTGTGGAGTGGAGCCTCCAGCAAGTGGGGAGCCAGTAGCTGTTTTTGGAGGGTCTGTGGCAGCTGCCTCTAGAAGGGGACATGTGTTCCTCAGAACTCAGGCAGGAAGCCCAGAGACCATGGGCATGACCACACAAGAGGGGCAGCTCAGCAGCCCAGGACCTTGTCAAATACCTCCAGCACCCATGTTCTTGTGCTAGGTGGCCTCCCATAAGTCCAAGTCCGAAGCAGCTAGTGGTCTGGGCTCTCCTCACTTCCACTTCTCTTCCTGATACCCCCTTCTCCTCCGTGCCTACCGAGTGCAAGGTATGGTGGCTGTTCACTGGGACTCCGTCCTCCTTGCCTTCCCCACCAACCTCCTCACCCACCACCTGCTCCCCAGCTGGCACTGGTAGTCAGTTCCATGTGATGTCTACATAGGGTTCACACGCTGGTCCTGAATGTGGATGAGAGACTCTGCCTGAGGCACCCACATCCAAACCAGCCCTGATGCCCAAAGCCTGGCCCCCTGAAGAGCCAGGGCAGCTGCAGTGGGAGAAGTGACCAGTGCCAGGGGTGGGCTCATGCCTTGAAGGCTGGCCAGAGCGGGGCAGGATGGTTCCTCTTGCTGAACTATTCATGCTTGTTGGCCAGCTGGGCACTGCAGTAGGGGTGCCTGCTTCAGGCCTCCTTGTTGGCTGGCAGCTCAGGGAACCAGAGTCATCTCTCTGAAGCAGGGAGGGCCCCCTCCAGCTGTTCCCCAAGTTTGCGCTGGCTGAACAGTTGCCATCCCCGGGAGAGTGCTGCCGGGAATCCAGGTGTCTGGGCTCACTGGCAACAGGTTTCTAGCAGGGGCCACTGCCCTGGTCCTCCCAGTTCGGTCTGGGCTGCTGTTCCAAGGGATGGCCCTGCCTGGCTTGGTGGCCGCTGCTGGTTTGCCTTGTCTGACGCTGGGGTGTTCCTTCCCAGTTGTGAGTCACCCTGTTGGGCCTGACTTTCTCCCGATGCCAGAGCAGGACTTTGGCGTCACAGCCAGCCATGATTCAGAGAAAGGAAGGCCGTCCGTGCGCAGGGAACTGACTGCATTTGTGAGAACGTGGGCAGAGGAATAAGAAGCAAAGGGGTGGGGTTGGAGGTGAGGTGGGAGGAAGAGGAGTTTGGGGGGGCTACAGAAAGAAAGCCAAAACCAGGAGATGTCATCAAGCAGTGGGGGATTCAGAAACCTCACTTTTGTTGTCAGGCTCACACAAGTTTATTGTTTTTAAACTTTTATTTATTTATTTATTTTTAAGATTTTATTTATTTATTTATTTGAGAGAGAGAGAGACCCAGCAGAGTGAGGGGCAGAGAGAGAAGCAGACTCCCCGCTGAGCAGGGAGCCCAATGCAGGGCTCAATAAGGGGCTCAATCCCAGGACCCTGAGATCATGACCTGAGCCGAAGGCAGCCGCTCAAGTGACTGAGCCACCCATGTGCCCCTCACATGGGTTTAAAAACTTCAACTTCTTTTCTTCCCTCAGCCTCAATTTTCCACACCTGTAAAATGAGACCAATAACTGTATGCACTCCAGGCTGATGTTATGAGGATTCAATTAAATATTTTCTATAAGGTGGACAGAGACTTAGGTAATCAACCAGCGGCAATGTCCTCTCTCAGCTTCCCAAGTATCCTAGAGAGGAAGCGAGGTGCCACCTGAAGCTTTGTTTTGATCAGAGGCCCCCTGGGGTGGGGGGGGCAGAGTATGGGTACCCCTCCCCCTTTGTGAATGCCTTTGAGGGCCTGGGAGAGGTGGACCAGGAAGGGGAGAGGGGCCAGCTGCTGACTGTACACCTACAGGCTCAGACTCCGTGTCCAAGGCTCCTGCACTCCCCCAGGGCTGGGGTGTGCTTTTACCCAGCACTGGCCCCCACTCTCGAATCCCAAATAGAATCTCATAGATCCTGGGCTACCTCTCCTTATCAGAGCGGTGGGATGGAGGGCTCACAGGACTGTGGCTGGTGCTCACCCCAGGCCAGCTCCCCAGGGTCTTATCCCTTCTCTCTGCTGGTGAAGGCCTGGAGCTGCTTCCCTGGAGGCCAGGGAAGAGAGAAACCAGAGGCCCTGGGGAGCCGCCCACCATACCATACCATACCTGGTAAGAAGTGCAGGTGGGTGCATGCAGCCAAGGTCAACAGCACAGTGACTCATTGACTTTTTTTTTTTTCTCAAACCAGGTTTGAGGAATAATGTGCATACAATAAAATTGGCCTTTTAAATGTTCAGTTCTGTTTGTTTTGACAAATGTATGTAGTAGTGTAACTACCACCACGATTATGACTATGGGACATTTCTGTCACCCTCAAAAGTTCCCCGGTGCCCCACCGCCACCCTGGCAACCACTGATGTGGTTTCTGTTGCTTCTTCTAGAATGGCATATAAATGGAATCCTACAGCATGGAGCCTTTTAGGATTGGCTTCTATCACTCACCAGAGTTTCTGAGATTCCTTCACGTGGATGTACGTATCAGTAGTTTCTATAGCTGAGTAGTTTCCATTATATGGATGTACCACAATTGGTTACCCATTCACCACTTCTTGGCTATTATTGAATAAAGCTTCTGGAACATTAACGTACAGGTCTTTGTGTGGATATGTTTTCATTTCTCTTGGGCGAGTCTCCAGGAATGGGACTGCTGAGTCATGTGGCCAGTACATTTACTTTTATTAAAAAACAAAAACAAACTTATGTAAAGTGGCTGTACCATTTTGCATTCCCACAAGCAAAATATGAGTGGTCCAGTCATTCTTCATCCGCACCAGCACTTGCGTGGTTAGTGTTTTTGTTTCATTTTGTTATTTTGGGCTATCTTAATAGGTGCGTGGTAGGATCTCATTTCATTTCCCCAATCACTAATGATGTTAGACATCTTTTCGTGTGCTTATTTGCCATTCATATACCCTCTTTGGTGATGTGTCTGTTTCAATATTTGGTCTATTTTTTTAAATTGAGGAGTTTTTTTAAAAAAAGATTTTATTTATTTATTTGAGAGAGAGAGAGCGCACGCGCGCACAAGCAGGGGGAGCAGCAGACGGAGAAGCAGGCTCCCTGAAGGGACCCCAATGTGGGACCCAATCCCATGACCCCGAGACCACGACTCAACCTGAAGGCAGACACTTAACCAACTGAGCTACCCAGGCGCCCCTAAAATTGAGGGTTTTTTAAAAAAGATTTTATTTATTTGGGAGAGAGAGAGAAAGAGCGCACAAGAGTGGGGTGTAGGGCATAGGGAAAGAGAGAATCAAATTCCCCGGTGAGCAGGGAACCCAATACTGTCTGGATCCCAAGGACTCCGGGATTGTGACCTGAGCTGAAGGCAGATGCTTAATGACTGAGCCACC